CTGTAGACACGTTCTCGCTCTTCCAACGGAAAGTGTCGCCTAGTCGGTCCAGGAAGAACCAACGTCCATCGTCATCCCGCCTTAGCGCATCGCCAGATCGGTAGAACAGATCGCCCTTCTTGAACACGTTTCTCTCGAACTTCTTCGCCGTAGCCTTTGGATTGTTATGGTATCCAGCGAATGCTTCTTCACCCGGTACAGCGACCAAGATCTCGCCACCCTCGTTATACGAATTGCGCCTCACGAATCCAGTCTTGGGGTCTCGGAGTAGCTCTCCAGTTTCCGGGTCGATGGGAACAGGTATGTATACATCGTGAAGAATTCGTCTGATAATAGCACCGTGCTGAGCCACTGTCGTCGCTGTAAAAGGCCCTTTGCTGTGAACCACCATACCCAGAACGCCTTCTGTCGAGTTGAAGAATTCTATTACTTCAGGGACGTTGAAGCGCTCTTTGAATCGGTTCCAGACATCAGGTCGCATGCCGTTGCCGTACATGGCGCGTAATCGGTGGTCTCGCTCCCGTGGATGTGGTGGTGCCATAAGCAGATATCGCGCTGCTTCGCCAACGTAAACGAAAAGGGTAGACTGGGAGTCGTGGATGTCGTCCCAAAATGTGCTAACGGAGAACTTTCGTCCTATCGCCACGCTAACTCCACCTGAAAGCGCTGATAGCACGGATAGGCCACCTGTACCGTGGAATAGCGGCATGCAGCAATACCATCGATCTCCATTTGGCCCGGCTTTCTGGTCAAAAGCCAGGGTTTGCGGATTTCCTCGTTCGTGGAAACGGTTTACCATGAACTTTCCTCCTTTTGGTAGGCCTGTGGTTCCTGATGTGTATAAGAGACATGTCGGATCTGAACCCTTGACGTTCTCTCTGTACTGATCGCCGGGTACTTGAGTGATGTGCTGCTGAACCTTGCTAATCAGGTCTTGATCGACCCTGAACGCTGTGACACCCATCTCTTCCACTGTCGTCCTCACACCCTCAAACCGTTCTTGACATCCCTCTTCGTCGTCAACAAGCACGACTTTAACATCTGCGACTTTGAGACAATGCACCAGTCCTTCTCCTTTGAGGTTGTAGTTGAGATGGGCAGGCGCCGCACCGATGGAAAACAGACCCAACCAGATAACCATGAAGTCTGCGCTGTTCATCATGTAGGTAGCGACCATATCGCCCGGCTTTACGCCTTGGGAGAGAAAGAAGTGTCCCCATTGGACGGCGCCATCATGTACTTGTTGCCATGTGTACGTTTTGTCCCGCGACCAGATGGCTAGGTTGTTGCTGTAAAGTGGAACGTGAGTCGCAAAAGCGTACCAGGGGGATAGCCTCTTAGTTTTCTCTATGTTGACTTAGCTCCGAACTGCGTCTCGGCGTGAGTAAGAGTATCGCTGAGGCTACATACCGAGTTGCTCATAGTAGCTAGCTGCGTTCTTCTTGAACCTCAGTCCTCTCAGGTCTTGTGCAATGTGGTATTTCGCGTTGACGTAGGCTGCTAGCCCGGAAATAGCTGCTACAGATGCAGCAGCCGCTGTTGCATCCATCTTGACTGATCTCGGTCTCTGATTCCTCTCTCGGGTAAATGTTGGACGTGGGTGTGAGAGAGGCACTGGGAGTGAAAAGCTTCAATCCAAGGAGGAAACGCAATGGCCCGGTGTGATCGTCTTCCACAGTTGCCGTTTGTCGGTCCTACTGCTAGCTGAGTCCGGAGCTAATAAGATACCGAGGTCGAGTCAGTTTAGTGGGTCTTGCGAGACGCGTAGTGAGTGCGGGGGTGACCTAGCGCGTCGGACATATGTACAGCGGTTGCTTGTCTTTCGGGGAAAGCTTTGCGAGACGTGGAGCGAGGTTTGACTTATGACGGTGTGTTTGCTGTGGCAGAGGCTTGTGGCTGAGATGGCTACAGATCACGGTCAATGTACCAACGATAACCATCATAGTATCAGAATGGGGCTACCCTTGCATACGGATGACAGGTATATTTCCTTTCTTATCTGAGAAATTGATATGCTGACCTATGGGTGTCATTCGACGCAGCTATACAAGGGCTCGAAATCTCTCGATCGCAAAACGCGTCTTCCCAATGTCTTGGATATGAACTTGGCACAACACGGCCATTGTCCTACTTGACTGCCTTCTTCTCCTTCTTGCCAATGTTCTCTGTGCCCGGTGGCACCTTGAGTCCTCCAAACACTAATGCGCCGACTCCGACCATGCCGGCAGCTCCGGTCGCATATGCCGTCTCGCGGCCCGCCCACCAGTAGAGGGTGCAGAAGATGAGGGGTCCGAGGGAACGTCCGATTTGACCTGATATATGTTAGCAGATGTTCCGATGGAGATGGGAGTCTTGGCTTACCGAAGCTCCGATGGTTGCCCAGCTTGTTGCCTCGCTCGTCTGCGCTCGCCTCGAATGACGAAAGACTGTTGAGGCCGGTAACGACGGTCGCGCTTGTTACGGCAAGAAGCGCAGCGGCCCCGTAAAGTGCGCCCTGCGTCTGGACCCTTCCGAGCATGAGGAAGGCGATGGTGCAGCTTACCACTCCCATTTGGACCACCTTGAGAGGGTGCATCCGCCGCACTACGGATCCTTGGAGGAGGGAGGCGACTAAGCCAATGAAGCCAAGCAATCGGCCGGAGTCCTTGGCCTGGTAGGAGAAGAGGTCGTATGTCATGAAGGGTAGTGAGAACTCCATGCCGCTGAAGAACAGGATGAAGGTAAAGTGTGTAGCGTTGAGCAAAAAGTGCGAGTTCGTTCGGCCGCGAGGTTTCGGTGCTTCGCTGCCTTTCGCATGCCCGTTCGTGGTGCCGTTCTCAGCCCTGCTCGCCGATGGTAGCGTCTCTGGGAGGCTGATGTAGAGGTAGATGGTCTCTGAGACGATCAAGAACAGAGAGAAGCCCGCCGCCATGGCGAACGGGTTCTTGTCCATGACCTGCAAGGTGGATAGGTATGCGCCCAGCGCTGGCCCGAAGGTGAAGGCGATGCTGAAGCATACGCCCACAAGCGCCATGGTCGAGCCTCTCTGACTGTCGTCGCTGATGTCGGTCGCGATGGCCATGGCAAGCTGCACGTTGCCCTCGCTCAGTCCTCCCACCACGCGACTGGCAAGGAAAGTGCGGAAGTCGGTGGCTGCAACCCAGAGCGCAACGCTGAAGATGTTGCCCACCATGGACCACAGAAGAGCTGTGCGCCTGCCATACTTGTCCGAGAGTGTTCCAATAAAAGGAGACGCGACTGCCTGGCACAGCGAGAAGAGCGATCCGAGTGCGCCGCCGAGCAGGACTATGTCGTAGCGGGAGTTGATGGGTTTCGCGAACGAGTTCTTGTACGCATTGAGGCCGGCGAGGATCTTGGAGAGGATCGTGTTCGGGTCTCCGGTTTCATGGTTACGGTAGAACTCGATGAGTTTGGGGAACAGCGGGAGGATGAATGTAAAGGATATCTGTCAGGGTCAGCCCACGCGAGCGGTTACACGCGACGGGGATGACGTACCAAGTCTAGCAGCAGCGAGATGAACAGCACCTTCAACACCCTCTTCCGCAGTGCCGGCGGTACCGGAGTCGTGTCTGAGCCCATGTCGAAGATGTGCGATGGTTATCCAGCCCAGTCGCAAGAACCCCGAAGCAGCGAATGGAGATGTGGACACAAGTAATCGGCGGCAGCTGTCTGGTTAAAAGCAGCGCAGCGAACGAATAGAGGGGAAGGGTCTAGTTCAGCTTGGACTGCAGACCCTCATCTAATGATACACTAGAAATAGAACAAGTCGCGAATTGTGGTCATTGGTGGCAAGCGCCGAAGTGTATTCGGGTCATGACGAAGTTTGGCCGTACGCGGGTGGCTCTGTTCGTGAAACAGGTGGAACAGGTGGGCACGAACCACATACTTGAAACACCACAAGAAAGTATCTGAGGCAGCCACGGCACCGACGCCCACATGGACAGAGTCATTGTACTGGCATGCTGCGAAAAGGAGATGTGGCTTCTGTGAGCGCGCCATGGCTTGAGCAAGTATCGCAGGCGCGGATGCGACGCTCGAGTAGACAAGCCGAGGCAATGTGGAGCTTCACGTCGATCATCCATCCCCAGCATCACCCGACCAAGCCGATAGCGTACGTGTAGACGGCGAGCCTTCCGACATTCCAAATGGTCTACCAAAGATACTCATAACATTCTACATTGTTCCAGGCTCACGATGGGCGACCCCGAGGCAGATCGGCTAAAGGCAATGGCAGCCGTACAGGCCATGTTCGAGAAGTACAAGCTACTTGCAGCTCGTAGGTTGAAGAACCACGTCGTATGGAAATATCAACACCATCCAAGAAGCTGCAACTAATCATGACCAGGACTTTGACCGTGAAGTCATGCTGAATCTGGAGCTTGTGGATGCTACTCTCGATGGCACCGTTACCTACGAGTTCTTCATCGCGCCCAACCTGTCCAACTTGAACAGTATGTAATCAGGTGTTGATCACTACCTATAGCTGAAATGCGCCAGATGTCATGCATGGAGGTGCTGCTGGAGTCATATTTGACATGTCGACAACTACAGCACTCTGTCCCCTTGCTCGGCCTGGCTTCTGGGAATTCATGGGCGGTGTTACACGAACCCTCAACATCTCCTATCTCAAAGCTGTGCCAATCAACACCAGAGTGCGGCTCAACAGCAAGGTAGTGAGTATCGGAAAGCAGATGGCCATGATCCGAGGCGACATGACCAGTCTGGACGGAAAGATCACATATTGTACCGTGGAGCACCACAAAGTGAACGCGCCCGTGATCAAAGAGCATCTAGACGTAGAGACAGCATGGGATGAGGAGTTTGCCAGGGAGTGGAAAGCGAAGGGACTAGAAGACGTGAAGAGTAAAATATGATGAACTTGCTCAGGCCAAACGCCGAGACATGGATTTTGTACACTTGCTTCGTAGCATGCTGTGACATCATTAAGAGTCTTTGCTCCATCGTGAATGTCGGCAAAACTGGTATCATATGACCTCCGTCTATTTCCTCTTGTTGAACTTCTTGGATTCTGTAATGGGTCAGTATCGTCCATACAGCCCGTCTTAGATGCATGGTGCTTACCAGCAGCAGTCCTCTTCTTCTTGGGCGCGCCCTTTCCTCTTGACTTTGCAACATTGAGGTGCTCTAGCCAGTCTTCCTCTTCTTCATCGATGATCTGGTGTTCGGGGTAGAGGCTTCGCAATTGACTAATTGTTCCTATCCGCGGCGGGTAGTAGGAAGCGACGGCGGGACCCTTGAGGCGCTGGTGCAGGATGCGCGATCCGAGACGGATGCGTTCGGGGTTGTACGTGGTGTTGAAGACTTTGCATTGGACCTGCACGTGTCAGTGAGATGAACGAAGACTTTGTCAGTAATCATACACACCCTCATCAGGTCCAAGACCCTCTGCCGTGGGACCGCCATTGTGCCTGCGATGCGGGTCTGCGGCGTTGCGGCGATATCTGAAATGTCGCGGAGGTGCCCTTGGCGCTCCCGACTAGCGCGACTGAGCCTCTCACCAACTTGCGAGGCACCAAGCCGTCACCAACCACACGCCCAAAGACTAACCTCCATTCCTGGCTATGGCGTCGCAAAAACGTGGCGGAGGCTTCAATCACTATGGCCGCGACCAACAGCACAAGAGGCACCAGCCTCAGCCTCAGCACCGCAACGGCGCGAATCACAATTCACATCCACCGCAGCCTGAGCTCTCCTCCCAGGACATGCAGACTGGACTGACAGCTCTGCTGGACAGATTTGTCGCAGAAGAGGCGACTGTCGGGGCAGACAAGGATATCATCCATCATGCGCACGAGCTCCGTCGCCTACTTTGTGCCCGGAACAACCCAATCTCTGCTAGAGCGAAGCGCGAGCTCGACGAGAAACGGCCTGACAAGGCAGTCAAAGTCGCCATACCCGATTACGTCGAGCGCAAAGTACGCGCTGCCCAGGACCTGCCTCCCCTGCCGCCTATCAAAGAGCCACACCTGCACGAAGCCGTCTTCACGCATCGATCCGCCATATTCGACCCTAGCATCCCTGGCTCCACGCTCGGCGGGGACCTCAGTCTAGACTACGAGCGACTCGAACTCCTCGGCGACGCCTACATCGAACTCATTGCCTCCCGCGCCCTCTACAACCGCTTCCCACACGTCGACGTCCCAGACCTCTGCACCTGGCGCGAACGACTAGTCGAGAATTCCGCTTTGAGCAAGTTCTCCAACGCCTATGGGTTCCCAGACCGGCTGAAGCATCGCTCTCAGTGGGACAAGAACTCCAAGCAATATCAAAAGGTCGTCGCCGACATCGTCGAAGCCTATGTTGCAGCAATCGTGCTGTCCGATCCCGAGAATGGATTCGAAACCGCAGAGACATGGCTGACTGAGCTCTGGGCACCACAACTCCTTGGATTCAAGGAGAAGATCATCGAGAACCCCCAAGCCAGAGACCAGCTCAACAAGCTTGTTCTCGGCAAAGGCGTCAAGCTCATCGCCAAAGAGGAGAAACCCATGACCTACGACTCGAACAGCGTGCAGTGTTATCACATCGGCATCTATCTCACCGGCTGGGGCTACGAGAACGAATGGCTCGGCAGCGGCGATGGACAGAACAAGGTGCAGGCTGGCGTCGCAGCGGCCGCAGACGCCCTGAAGCGGAACAGCCCGGTACTGCAAAACGCTATACGGCAGAAAGACGAGCTGAGAGCCGCGCGTCTGAAGGAACAAGAAGAGACGACTGTAGGAGGTACTGAACCGCAGAACACCCTCAACACTGAAGCGTCAAATGGTAAAGTGTCAGACACTCAGGATGCTACACAGAAGAAGCGGAAAAAGGAAGATGACGATGCGTCACATGAGAAGAAGAAGCATAAGAAAGAGAAGAAGCACAAGACTACGGCTGACAGCTCCTGATCGCGCCGTGTCATGACCACTGCCAATACCATTGCTCTCGGATTGAGCCTTGCTGAGTACGAACTTCCTCGTGCCTAACTCACAATATTTTCCCATGTAGGTGATGGCTAGATAGGTAGGTAGGTAGGTAGGTAGCCATCAAGACGTGTCCTCTTCGCTCGATGCTCCCATTGTAGTTTCGAGCATTGAAGGCCTGTCCCCCATCATCACTATTCAAAACTCGACGAGGATAAGTAACTTGGCCTGCTAAAGTCTTGTCCCCGTCACGATCATCTATACGCAAGAACACAGCACATCAGCGCAATGTATGCCTGATTTCCTCTATAGCAAATCCAGACGATGCATACTTAGACGAATAGATTCGGATATTCAGTAGCATACATTGAATGCAAAGATCCTATTCCCATCACTCACTATATTCAACTCTGATGTAACGCATTTCGCGCCTCAAGCTTTTACTTCCTACGAAGTCTTTGGTATGCCTGCCCTTAACGCCATGTTTTCCCAAAATCCTCCTCTACTTCTTCAGCGCTCGCCCAGCGATGTCCTTGCGATACTGCATCCCCTCAAAGTGTATGCACTCGACGCCCTTGTAAGCCTTCGCAACAGCTTCTTCCAGCGTAGGCGCTGTAGCCGTCGAAGCGATGACACGACCACCGGCGGTCTTGAGCGTGTTATCCGAGAAAGAAGTTCCGGCGTGGAAGAGAACAACATCTATGTCACATTAGCATCGCCACAACCCCCATAGATGTAACAAAGGAGACTCACCCTCAGGAACAGCATCCAGCCTCATAACCGTGCCCTTCTCATAACTCCCCGGATAACCCCCCGCAGCCACAACAACCGTCGCCGCACTTCTACCCGACACCTTAACATCCACATCCCCCAGTCTCCCCTCCGCACACGCCGCCATAACCTCCGCTAGATCCCCCTCCATAAGCGCCAACAGACTCTGCGTCTCTGGGTCTCCAAACCGGACGTTGTATTCCAGCACCTTCGCCCCGTTCTTCGTCATCATCAGCCCCGTGAAGAGCACGCCTCTAAACTCGTAGCCCTCGGCGCGCATGCCGTCGACGGTGGGTTGCAGGATCTCTTTGTCGACGCGCGAGAGCACGTCTTTCGGTGCGATAAGTGTGGGCGCGTATGTTCCCATGCCGCCGGTGTTGGGGCCTTGATCGTTATCGTAGATACGCTTGTGGTCTTGTGCGGGTGGAAGGGATTTGATTGTGCGGCCGTCGCTGAAGGTTAGGATGGATAGCTCATCGCCTTCTAGGAACTCTTCGATTACGACTTCGTCGCCTGCGGTGCCGAATTCGCGGGTGAGCATTATGTCTTTGAGGGCGGTGTGGGCTTCTTCTTTGGTTTGTGGGATGATGACGCCTTTTCCTGCTGCGAGACCCGAGGCTTTGATCACGACGTTGTGGGAGATGGAGTCGAGATACGCTTTTGCGTCGTCGTATTTGCTGAAGTTTGAGTAGGCGGCGGTGGGGATGTTGTGACGCTTCATGAAGTCTTTGCTGAAGGTCTTGCTGCCTTCCATGCGCGCGGCGGCTGCGCTGGGTCCGAAGGCTTTGATGCTCGAGAGGCCATTGTCGCGGAAGTAGTCGACGATGCCGGCGACGAGGGGGGCTTCGGGGCCGGGTATTAGGAGGTTGATGTTCTTTTCTTTGGAGAAGGTGACGAGGCCGGCGAAGTCGCTGTCTTTTACGGTGGTCACGTTGGTGACTTTGCTGGAGAGGGTTGCGGTGCCGCCGTTACCGGGGCAGACGTAGATGTGCTCGATCGAGGGCGATTGCAGGAGTTTCCAGGCGATGGCGTGTTCGCGGCCGCCGTTGCCGACTAGGAGAACGCGGAGAGATTCAGACATGGTGTGTGGGATGTGTGCAATGGCTTGTTGCGTCGTGGGAATGTTTGCGCCTGGAAATTTTTGGGAGTGCATGCCCCGCCGTGGGGTAGTATGCAGGGATCTGCGGGAGTGAGGTCACTCAGCCCTACCAGATCCCTGAGCTGTCTCGTGTCTTCCAAGAATGACACTGGACTAGACATTTACTCAGAGAAAAGATACAGTAGACACTCCAGTTCCATTTTACCATCGCGTCGTATAAGTGCCAAAGCATCTGAGTCTTCACATAGGTTCAGCGGAGAAAGGTCATGACCGATGGTTGGATAATGCTTGCATTCAGCCGAATGGTCTACACTATTGGATTACGGATGAAGACTTGGAATAGGGTATCGATGTAGTAATAGTGTACATACGCTGAAACGTGCACTGAATAGCAAGCTGACCCCAGTTCATACGACGATGGACCTGCCCTCATATCGTCGTCCACAAGACTTCCGGCAGGTGCAATTGCACCTGCAACCTTTCTTGAGATATCCATACCAATAGTCCTTCAAGCTCGCATCAAGCTGCAGTATCTGGATAGACACAAGAATATAGATGATCTGCCGATCTTTGCGCTCTTCGTGCGTAGCAAGCCAATAGAGTATGAAGATGGAGACGGATCTCATCAACATCCATGTGATGTCGTAGAGGAGGTGCCCAATGATAAATGACTATCCATCATTCTCGCGCTCAATACTGCGCTCGTGTTCTCTGACGGAATGACTTGAAGCGCTCATGGGTGGCTCCGGAGCTGATTTGACTTGAGCGTCGAGCTCCGAAGAGGGCACAAGTGTGTCGTCTGACTGCGGCTCTGCGGGCGAGCATTCGCGTTTGCCGAATAGTTCCCGTTGCACAGCACCTGGAGTAAAGTCACATCAGCCAAGGCCATTGTGATTTTGCTTAGCCTTCATGAAGAGCTGACCTAGCACGTCAGGCTGTGCTATGCCAGGATTCTGCATATATGGTTGTTGCTGATGCATGCCCGGCATATGTTGGGTATTGTGGTTGTGTATGCTGAAACCGGCGTCTTGTTCGCGTTGTTGGCCGAAGAGCTCTCGTAGAGACAGTTGGCGGCCCATCGGGGCAGAGGAGGCGGCCTCGGCAGGCTCGGTCGCTTGTACGGCAGGCTCGAGGGCTTCGCGGCTCGCTCTTGCCCTGTCGGCAATGTCCATCATCTTGGCGGCGGTCTCGACACGGCAGTTGGCGGTGGAAGCTGGTGGTGGGTCGGCGAAGATCCAGATGCCGTAGACCTGCTCGCCCTGGATGATGACATAGGGATCGGATATCTCCATCTCTTCACTGCTAGTGAGCTCCTGGTAGAAGTTGTCTAGGCCGCGACGGTTGAGGATGATGGCGCAGTATCGCTCGGCCCCGATGGGCGAGGGAGTCAGCTGGCAGATGAAGAGAGTACCCTCAATGCCCATCTTCTCCCATGACTGCGTCTCGAGGTTGAAGGTATACAGCGCGGCGTATGGCGTGACATGCTCTATGGCGACGAGATCGGCGTACTCGCGGCGAAGGACGGAGAAGTTGAGCTCTTCGTTTGACCGCGGCGGTGGGAGGGGCACGTCGACAGCAGGCGGCGCGTCTGTCTCGTAGTCTGACGGCTGGGGAGGCGGCTGGTTCTGGTTTGCGCGGCCTTTGCGGTGTGGCGCCATAACTGATATGGATGTTTGTTGTGGTGGAGGTGAAGGAGAGGGAGCGTGGACGGGATTGGTGTAGTCAGGCACCGAGCCGTGGAAGCTCCTGCCCTGCAGCGTGGGGTGTCGAAGAGCTAAGCACAGCCATGGCCAAAGCCACTGCGCCGGCGTCCTGGCACTGCCCGGCTCTTCATCATCGTCATTGCCAGCAGCGGACTGTGGCTCAACCGCCTGGTGCCCGCTTACCCACTCAAATCATCGCCATGGGGTGAATGCCTTCCTGTTCACGCAGACCCTGCATTCCTCCCTGCAAACCTTCGCCGCGCACCCTCGCCCTTCGCCCTCCTCCTTCACCCCGCCATGGCGCCCGACGCCTCTTCCGTGCGCTCCACTGAGCGCCTTGATGCCACCATCCCCGGCGCATTCGATCCGCGCACGCCGAGCATAGCTTCCATCACCACCCACCAGACATCGCTCTCGCAGGCGTTATACGAGCGCCGCGCCGAGTACACGCGACCGCGCAACGTGCGCATCAAAGTCGGCACCTGGAACACGGGCGCGCAAAAAGGCACCGAGCAGGATGTCGGCAAGTGGTTCGTCCAGGGCAAGGGCATCGAAGAGTCGCTCGCTGGGCTCGGCGTGTCCGACCCTGGAGAGCACGGCAAGGGCAGCAGAGAGAGCATTCCCGCCCAGGAAGCACGGCATAGCACGTCAGAGCCTACTGTCCCCCACCGTGAATCAGGAGAGGTCCCCGGCAGAGAAGAGATCGATATCTACGTGCTAGGTCTCCAGGAGATTGTTGACATCACTTCTGCCGCAGAGGCTCTGAGACCCTTCACCGACCCCTCCACGGCGAACAAATGGAAAGCCTCGCTGGAAGCTGTGCTGCCCAAGGGCTATCAGCTGGTATCAGAGCAGCAGCTGATTGGCCTGTGGCTCGTCATCTATGCCTCCCCAGCCGTCCTACCGCAGATCAAGAATGTTAGTACCACAAGTGTCGGCACTGGCTTGATGGGATACATGGGCAACAAGGGCGGTGTCACGACCCGCATCGTTCTGGGAGAGACAACTCGACTCGTCTTCATAAATTCCCATCTGGCGGCTGGAGCGGACAAGTCATCTTTGGAGAGAAGAAACTGGGACGCTGCTCAGATCAACTCCCGAACACGCTTCGATCCTGTAATAGATTCCCTAGGCTCTTCGCAGAACACCGGTGAAGGTTTAGGTGACGAGGACTTTGCCTTTTGGTTTGGCGACCTGAACTATCGTCTCCATGGCATGCCAGGCGACGACGTGCGCCGCCTACTCACCATACATACGAAAGACCTGGACAAGGAAGAAAATGTTGGTCGTACTTCGACATCTGACGACTCCGGGTATGCCTCGAAGCAATCATCTGAAGAAGCGCGCGACGCCGTTCCTATGCCGCCAGAGCTCGATCCAGCCTCACTACAAACCACCATCTCATCCCTACTACCGCACGATGAGTTGCACCAAATGATGAAGAGCGACAAGGCTTTTCATGATGGGTGGGAAGAAGGCCCTATTCGGTTCTTGCCGTCCTACAAGTACGATGTCGGGAAAGTTGGTGTGTTCGACTCAAGCGAGAAGCGCCGCTGTCCTAGTTGGTGCGATCGCATTCTTTACCGTACGCGAGCATCTAAACAGCAGTATGATGTCCGAGTCAGGGAACAAGAGGCGGCACGTAAACATGCTGAAGAGATGAAGGGGATTGACCTGCCAGGCGACTACGATGTCAACAGTGTCGAGAATGTCTTGTACGCGTACGACGAAGACAACGATGGTGACGAGGACTATGATGAGAACGAAGACCCAGAGCCCGAGCCGATCAAGACCAAAGACGATCTTGAGGCTGAGATACTGCTCGAGTATTACACCACCCACATGCGTGTTCTCAGCTCCGATCACAAACCCTTGGACGCTGTCTTCAAACTGCAATACGACGCCGTGATCCCTGAGCTGAAGACTGCCATTCATGCCGAAGTCGCTCGTGAGATAGACCGCCAGGAGAACGAGGGCCGACCATCGATTGCAGTAGTGGTAGAACGTGCGACCGGCTCCCCATCCGACGGGCGAGACAAAACAGACAGCACCTTCGAAGGTGTCGACTTCGGTGACGTCAAGTTTGCAAAGTCTACAAGACGTAACATCACCATTGCAAACACTGGTCGGGTACCAGCCACCTTCGGATTCGCTGATCGTCCGGTCGACAAAGACCAGCCTGCCGGCCCGTTCCCGCCATGGCTCTCTGTTACCTTTGACAAGGCCCAAGACAAGCTTGATAAGCCAAGTCCAGATGACATCCATCAGTACTTCACACTTGCGCCTGCCGAGGTACTCAACGTCGAACTGAAACTCAAGATTGAGAGTACCAGTTCAGTTCGCGATCTCAACGAAGGAGATGCCGTGCTTGACGAAATCCTCGTCCTCCGCGTTGAAAACGGACGTGACCACTTCCTCCCAATACGCGCCCATTGGCAACCGTCGGCACTTGCACGGTCTATCGACAAGCTGATCAAGATTCCCGAAGGCGGTATCAGAAAGCTGCAAAACCAGATACCAGCCCGTGGCGAGGTAAAATGGAGCGTGCCTAGGGAAGTATTTCGGCTGACCGAGGCGATAGAAGACCTGACGGAGCGAACCCTGGCCGAATGGGACATGACCAAGAGCGAAGGGGAGAGGGCGCCTTGGCAGGACAACGCAGGGTGGCCTTTTGTTGAGGGCCGAAATAATGGTGGACATGACCGAGAGGATGAGCTTGCGGGGATTTATGAGGCGCTGGACTGCGATACCCCATTCGTCGACGCGTTCTACCCCGAGACGCGCAGCACCGAGCGAGTCGAGATGTTAGCTGAAGCCCTCATCACTTTTCTATCCAGCCTCACAGACGGTGTGATCACCAAGAGTCTGTGGGAAAAGTTAGAAGAAGCGTTAGCCCGTCAGGAGAAGGCCTCGAAGAGTGCATCTTCCCCCTTCTTCACATCCGACGACGAGAAGATGACCATCTTGGAGGTACTAGCAACAGCGCCCAACCACAACGCTACTTTCCTCCTCATTCTCTCCTTTCTCCAAAACATCGCGAACCAGATTACCGAGGTGTCGAAGCCGCGCCCGGAGGATAGCAACAAGAGAGCAAGCATGGATATGAGCCTTCCGTCTAGTCCGCAAGCCAAGGTCAGAAGGAAGACGTTGAGTCGGGTGCCTGAACAGGCTATCCGCCAGCTTATCGTGAGGAACTACGCTGTTGTCTTTGCAGATTGTCTGGTCAAGTGGAAGGATGGCGGTAGAGAGAAAGAAAAGGCAGCTAGGAAAGAGAAGATGGTTGGAGTGCTTGAGTTGTTTCTGAAGCAGGACTGAGCATGCACTTGGAACTTGATGAAGGACTAGTCATTGGCAGATGTAGTGATACCCGATCAGTACCTGGTAATATCAAGCGAACGTACCTGTATTGCGCTCCATGTCTTTTTTGTATAATGTCAACGTTTAACACATTATCGAAGTCGGGTGGTCGATCTCTGTCGGTCAGGACAGTCCGTGGTTCTAGAACCTGGAAGCCGTCGACGCACGCTATACCCCACGCAGCATAGCGCCCCCATGCACGATCCCCGGTAAGAACATTAGCGCATCCGAGATATCAAAAGTCGCGCTTCTTCAAAACGCACTTCAGTCCCCTCTCCAACCTCACAATACCAATCCAGCACCGTCCCCGTCCCCCAAAATGTCTTCCACAGCCCCCGCCTCGCAAATCCACCTGCGTACACCCCCGGAGCCCGGAAAGAAACCCGCATCCCGCACCTACCTCATCTACTTCGTAACCGGCAACCCAGGCCTCGTAGAATACTACCGCACCTTCCTCACCCACCTCTACGGGCTACTAACCCACAACACGGCCTCAGACCGGAGCATAGAATTCCAAGTCTACGGCCGCAGTCTCTCGGGCTTCGAAATGAACGACGCCGAGATCAAGACGATGAAATGGCGGAAACAGCCGCCGTATGGGTTGCAAGACCAGATTAGGCATTCGGAAGATGAGCTTGCGGAACTTGTGGAGGAGGTCAAGGAGAGCGGTGGTGCGAAGGATGTTAGGGTGGTTTTGGTGGGGCATAGTGTGGGGAGTTATATCTGTTTGGAGATTATTAGGAGGTTGAGGGCGCATGGGATGGTGGGGGAGGATTTTGAGACGAGGGTTGTTGGGGCGGTGGGGCTGTTTCCTACGGTGGTGGATATTGCGAGGAGTGAGAGTGGGATGAAGGCTTCTGTGAGTACTTTTTTCTTGTTGTTTTGTTGGAGATTCGGGTCGTTTCTGGGATGCCACCCTTTCCTAGTACGCACACGGGCTCGGTTCTCTGATGATCGCAAGCTTTCTCATTAGAGAAATATCTTTGCGGGAATCATGAGTGGCTGGTCGCTCTGCTTCATCGGGGATGGGCTCTGTTACAGGCCCGTTTTCGTAGTGCTTGTTTCCGCACATGCTAACAGTCACGTGCAGCCTTTACTGAAGAACTCGAACTTCGCGACCTTTGCAGCCCTCTTCGTCAATTTTCTTACCATGTTCTTACCCATCTCAATTCTTACAACTCTAATCGCAAAATTCATGGACTTCCCTACCGACGCCGCGCAAACCACCGCCGCCTTCGTCAAATCCCCCCACGGCATCCACGAAGCACTCCACATGGCTCGCGACGAGATGTTCCAAATTGACACCGACATCTGGGACGAGGAGATCTGGGGCGCCGCCGCTTCAGAGCCCGCAACCAAGCATCCGCACCCGCGGCCCATCTTGCGCTTCTTGTTCGCACGCAAAGACCATTGGGTTGCTGATGCAACGAGGGATGCGCTGATCCACACTCGGGGCAGGTTTAGTCGTGGGGATGGGGTCGAGGAGGTAGAAGGGCAAGGCGAGAATTGGAAACCCGTTATGGAGATTGATGAGAGGGAAGGGTGGCCGCATGGGTTTTGTATTCGCCACGGGGTGCCGGTGGCGGAGAAGGTGGCGG